TGAAATTCATTCCAACTATCAAAGAAAATGGTAGTTATTTTCCTTTTAAAGATTTTTGCTTTTTATTAGGTAATAATACATCATCATGCTGCTTTCTTTTTCCAACATTTATTATTTTTCTTTCTTCTTGGTAAATTTCATAAGTAATCTTTTCTTTATCTAAATATGTTTGCAAGGATTTAGTATCTGCCAATTTAAAAATATAAGGTGCAATTTTTTCACCTTGTTCCTTTTTTAAAATACTTCTAATGGTGCTGTAATTTTTGGGTTCCATAGTAGATCTGATGTAAATGAGTTTCATATTAGCTATTTTTATATAGGGGTAGTTCTATATCATTTAACAAATGGGACATTATAAAACTGTTGATTATTATTATGATCACATTACAAATGACTAAATTTTGATCCCTGAAATGCTTAGTAGTGCAAATGTTCACTTTGTCTGGTTTTGTTGCAGTATGCCCCATATATGATATTAATTAGTTTTGATCTACATTAGTCCAAAGACATTACCACGGATTAAATAATTTTTTGTTTATTATAAAAAAGATACATAATTAATTATACATTCCAAATTTACCCAAAAGGTCATATTAAAACGGGAAAACAAATTTCCTTTCTGATCTGTTTTTCTTAAAACATGATTTTTTACCACATAATTGTAAGGACCTCGGAAACTTCTAATTGAGGTCCCAATCAATTTTCATATTAAGGGTTTATTATAACAAATTCACCCTCTTAATATTAGTATGTAACATTTTTTTAACACCATTAAAAGCATATCTTGATCGACATTTGCTAATATAAGGCCTTATAAACTTCGCCCATAATTATATATAGTTCACTATCTATAATGACCCTTCTGTTTCAGCAAAGAAACCATTATAGAGAGAGATCGTTATATGAGGCATATGAGATAATTTCAATTGGGCCCAAATTCTCAGTCCGTTATAGAGCGAAAACCATCATAGAAAAGGCTGTTATGGAGAGAATGAACTGTATGTGTTTCTGTTTTTGAAGAATCCACAAAATAAATAAATGCATCTTTCCTTATTGAACTTTATTTTTAAACATATTCAAATAAAAGCTAACACAAAACATCATAAAGATCCATATAATGAGCAAGCTCTTGAAGTATTAACAAATAGTATATTTTTATTAGAATAATTTAATTCATTCGATTTTAAATAAGCTACATCAAGCTATTATATAAGATCATATTAACAATATGTTCCTCAATTAAATGTAAGATAAAGTGTTTGTTTAAGTATGCATCCCATCTGCGCATATTTTTCATTTTTCATAATGTATTAGTATGTGGTCATGTCTGAAATAAATAAAATATGAATTATCTTTTGTTTGTATGTGATTTATATTATGTATATCTAACTTCATAATTTATTTACTTAATTTTTAATATTACGTTAATACCTGTTTATTATATTTACACTTTTGCAAAAAATAATAATAATAGCGAAACATAATTAATTTTCTTTAGATAGAAGGATCGAATTAATAAATGAATGGTACCCTTTTTTTTCTCTTCTACTTCATCATAAATTTTTACAGTGCAGGTGAAATGCCTGCTTTCTTCCTCTCTTCCTTTTCATCATTATTTTAAACTATTATTTGGTTCGTATGTGTTATATATAATTCATTATTTTATTCTATTCATTACTTATTTTATATAATAATAATTCATCTTGTATAATAATATCTACCTTATAATGATAATAAAAAATTTTTTTTACCTTGTATATTTTATTTTAAAAGAAACATTTCATTTAAAATTATATTAAAAAAAATGCAAATTTCTAGTCCATATGTTCGTATCTTAACATCTCTTCACAAAAAGAAAATAGCAGTCAATATAATCATCACATTCTTGATATACTCTAATTTCCCATTTACCCATTTTTTATGGACTTTTTTTTTTGGTAGGACAGACGCGAATTGATTTTTTTTTTCTTGGAAAAACAATATATTTTTTGAGACAAAACGTAAGTGTTGTTCAGTTCTCCTAAAGAAGAAGTGTTAATAATAGAGGTACTTCTTTTTATTTGTATTGATGTGTATATGGTGTATTTTTATTTTATTATATAAATATATATTATTGGAATCCAAAATGCGGAGCAGATCTTGCTGGGTAATTACAAGATTTTCATTGATAATCTTTTGCTTTTCGTAATAATATTATATTACTATAATTACAAGAAGATGTCAAGGCAGCACACCGTTGAAAAAGAAACATTTTGAGTATGTGAGACGTTTGTTTACAGGAAATTAGCAGGCGTTGAAGCACGCATGCTACCTTGAACACTTTACAGTTATTCTCACATCTTCCTCGTGTTCAAAAGGCTAATCTTGACCTGGCGACCCAAAGATATGATGATGCAACTGAATTCCAGAAGGCGCATGGATCTGGAATTTACCGAGATTGCATCAATCGTCAATGACACTTTCACTAATCTTCCCAGACCAGAGATGGCCACTGGCCTGCTAGCTGAAAATTTGCCTGCAATGATCCTGCCTCTAGGGTAAGGATGGCACTGTGACCAAGATGTTGCAACTCTGCTGATGAATATTAAGAGAACCTGCAGCTCGTTTCAAGCACAGAAGGTCACAATTCAGAGCAGGGTTGGTGACCCTGAAATTGCATTTGGGCTCTGATGTTAAGAGGAAAGTCGTAAAATAGTGTTTGTTTTGTATAATCATTTTCATAAACGCTCTGTTTTTTTGATACTAACTAACAAATTTATGATTTTGGGTAGGGGACTGGATGGGTTTTTGCTCAATCAGTTCTCTGTCCTGTAGGTTAAAATTATTGCACGATTATATACATCTTTGTTAGCAATATGGCCAACAAGAAAAAAGTTATAAAATGGTTCGGTATGTTATAAATTAATCATTTTCCCAAATTTTCTGCTTCTCTTTAATTTTTATCTGACCAACTGAATTTTAATGATGTTAGCCGTTTAAAAAT